TGAATAAAAAATATATACAATATAAATATAAATATTTATTTAATGTTAAATTGAGAATATAACTTTATGTTATTTCTAATTTGACTAAAATATAATTTTATTTATTTATATATTTTTTATTTGCCTCTATATTAGTTATTTATTGACGTAATTATAATATTTTAATAATGATAATTTTGACTGTCTCAACATCTTTTAGTTTGAATCCTATTGTCACACATATTATTCTTTATTTTTAGTGTTTTTTTATATATTTTTATAATGGATAAATTCATTTACAAAAATTCTCAATAGGATAAAAATAAAAAGTAAAAATAAAATTATAGACATAACTTGTGAAAAGAAAGGGTAATATATTAGTTTTGATGATATATTAGATTATAGTTTTATTTCTAAGTACAAGCTAACTTTTAACCTAATGTCTAACATTGAATTCTTTTTTTCCTGTAAAAAGGATAAATAGATAGATTGACATTTTTCTAGTCCCTTTTTTCACACCACTGTGACACCAGTGCCTTCACTATCCAAGTAAAGCAGCTGTAAGAGCTTGTTTAACTATTCAAATCTGTGGCAGTTTTTTACCATGCTACATGAATCTCTACCTTGTCTCCATTCTGTGCACTCAAAGTCACCGCGAGTGAAGTGGGGATTTATTTACTTTGCATTGGCCGGCTCCTTTTTGGAAAGCAATGGGCTCAAGAGTCAAGCAATAAGAACAGAGTCAGAGAGACACAGTATACAGATTTTCTTGTCATGATTATGGACATCGCAATTGATTGGATGGGGTGGAAAAAAAAGAACTACAAGGTATCCAGAAAAACCAAAAAAGTGTGTTCTTCCGACTGGCTGGCTAGAGCTAGCTGACACTCTGACCAGCATGAAAAAACTCTATCTCCTTTTCATCGTGCTGTTGCTGTTGCCGTTGCTCCAAGCTTCTTGAGTTCTTCCCGGAGCATCGTCGTCACCAAATGGTCCAAGTAATCGATCTTGGACGGATGATACGCGCCGGAGACGATTTCATCGACTTGCTCCTTCGAGATAACGAGCCGAATCGGGGGACCCCATCCTGACTCGCCAGAAGGCTCCAATCCATCCCTCACGAGGTTGTGCCTTTTGATCCTATCCCCCGACGAGGAAGAAGAACACGAATCGATTGACGACGAGGACCTGCTGCGGTGAATTCGATGGCCGCTGGATTTGGGATTGCGATCCTTTGCCACGCCAAAGCACGAATTTCCCATATTTTTTTCCCTTTCCTTTCCTCCTTTTCTCTCTTTCGAGAAGTAAATTTCTTGCTCCAAGTAGCTGGGATCTTCGCAGTGCCGCGGACTGGAGACCCAATACCGCGATTTGAGAGAGCGATTTGACCGTGGAGAGATTGTGATCGATCAACAGAGACGGAGAGATTAGCAGCAAACTGGGACTTACGCACAAGAGAAAAGAAAAAGGATAGGGTTCTTAAGCGAAAAGGAGAACGGCACTTAAACTAAATAGTGCCTCGTGAGGGACAGGATTTCAGCACAAGATAGTGACCATGTCTCCTCGAGGCGCAGCAAAGTTGATGGAGATAATCAAAGACTTTGAGCTCCTCGCGACGATTGATCGAAACCAAGGGCTGGGAGGGAGAGCAAGAAAATGAAAGCGAAAACAATGCCAAGAGAAGACGATGGGTTTCACAACAAAATACAAAGAGGAAGGAGAAGGAATGGATTGATTGGAGGCATCGCTATCGAGACGAAGCGAGCACGCGAAAGATGAGAGAACTGTAAGTATATGGATTTCGAAGGATGAACAAAATGTATATGTTACAGGAAGAACACGAGTGAGTGAAGTTTTTCTTCTTGTTTATGTGTTTGGACAGCTCTCGCGAAAGCCTGAGTTGCCACGGAAGGCAGTGATTGATCGTGTCGGCATGGGCACAATTCCAGCGGCCGTACGGGGGTGTATCTGAGAATATGTACGGCAAGGTGAAATCATGTTTGCTGCGGTATTCTGTACGCGGTAGTGGTACAATACGACAGAAAGTGGGTATGTGTACCTGTACACGCTGAGGGTACAGGTGTATGAATTTTCGTGCACACACACACTACTCATAAGAGGGCACATTGGTTCTCAAAAAAATTTGAAAATCTCCGGTCAACTGATGATGGACAGTTGGGGTGTGCCCTGAATGCCAGGCACTGCATGTAATGCCACAGATTTGATAAACCAAAGCCTGCATGTTCTCATTGTCTCTATTGCCTGTCTCTAACAATATAATTAAATCAGAAGAATAATGTTAATAAGTCAAATTAAAACAACGATTAAAAAAAAACATATGCTATCACTTAAAAGCATTCCCTCCCAGCAAACAAACAAGAACCTGTCTAAATTTTAAAAATGTTTAGAATTATGAATTTCAAGTTAATTCACTAATTTTTATATGCTTTGGCAAACTTTGACAAGCACGAGATACATAAGGGAATACTATTCCTTGTTATAGACCCGAAATATTCAGGCATTATCTAGAATATTTTTTAATCTCAGTGTGTAATGTTAATTGTCCATCCTTTGTTTATAGGAATTAGTAAAAGGGCACAAAATATAAAGCATGTATAATTTTAAAGGTGTTTAAGCTAGAGTATACTGCTTTCATTAACAAACTATTGTCGGAACATAAAGATAAATAATAACTAAAAAGAGAAAAGTATTATACAAAACATACATAAAGAATCAGGACAAAGGTGGCAAAGATTTCTTCCCGCTTCTGGTTTGAAACGTCCCGACATGTTCTCCCCATGGTGCTCAGCATGGCCACGAAATCTCCGGGCATTCTCCCTGGGTGTGCGCTGCCTCCTCTCCTAAATGATGCAAAAAAGCTTAGGAAGTAGAGAGGTTTCATACGAATTCTTCTAGAGGGAGCAGGAGATGGGCGACCGCCCCTGGCCAAGAAATGCACATTCTTTTGGGTTTGTGTCAACTTTATTTTGATTAAGCCAGATTTTTATTCTCATTTCCCACAAGACTTATTTTATCTGGACAAAGGTGGCAAAGATTTCTTCTGGTGCCTGTCAAACAACTTCTCCTCAAGCCCTAGGAGGATGTTGGCAGTCTTCTCTCTGAGCTATGCCTATGTCATGCAACTGGCCACCTTCTTGGTCACCACGGCTGGCTCATGCTCACTCAGCCTCTTCTTCTCACCAAACGTCTTGTTGGAAGCACTGGCACAGCTCCGTAATACTAATCCTTGTCCTTGAAAAATCCACAAGTTGAACCACACCCTGCTTTTGGAGAGTTTTGTGAGTACTCTGCTTCCTCTTCCACCTCCTTCCGGAAGCTCAAAGTCGAGGGCCTCCCTCAGGACTCAGGGCGACTTGCAAGTGAACAAAAGACCGTCACTTTGGTGCTTGGCCTCCCAAACCCAGCTCCTTTTCCACCGACAACAAGTCCCCGGTAAACTCCATGGCATCCATGGATCTTATGAGTGCCCTTTGCTCATCCATGATTCAGTGCTCTGACATGTAACAACTTCTTGTAAATCATCAGCGGTGAAGCTTAGCTATGAAAGTTTCACATTATATAAATCGTATATTGCATTATTATATAAATCAGAAGATGGGTTAGAGAAGAATAACAAATATCAAATATAATAGAAAACCTCAAAAAAGACTAATAAGAACCTTAGGAAAAAGAAGGATAAAAAAAAAAGAAACAACAAGAAATAGAAAAATTATTGAGAACAAAAATTATAAATTAAAATTAAAACATGTATATTAAATAACTTTTATTTGTGTAGAAAAATATAAAAACCCAAACCAAAAGTAAACCAAGCATTATTGTTGCCAAATCATTATATAAAATTCCTATAAAAAATTTAATTTATTCTCAATTATTTTGAATTTTTAGTTTAGTTCATATTGTCCAAACACTATTTCATAACCTCACATCAAGAAAAGAAAAATTCAGATTTTAATTTAAATATCTTTAATAGTCTTAAAATCTTTTAAAAAAATTCAAAAGTAGATGATTTTTATGAGAGTGAAAACTCCAACACCACCCAAGAAGCATAGAAGGCATGCCATTTAAGAACTAGAGTCCTCTTGCTCCTGTGCTAATCCTTGCCATAGCCATTAGGAGCTTCATCTTCTTCGGCCTTCCCAACAGCACTAGCATTAATGTTGCTTTTTAACACCATTTCTACTTCTTTCCCCAAAGCCTTTCTCTTCTCCTTCACACAAATTATTCATAGTCTTCACTAGTTAATCATGGTTAATTTAAAACAAAGAAAAACCCAAAGATTTTGATGTCCTAGCCCTTAATAATTGTGCTCTGCTCACTCTAGAACCTCATAAACCACTATATTTTGGTTATTTTTTGGATTTTTTCTCTTCATCCCTTTTTTCTTCTTACTTGCTAGTTTAATAGTCTGATTTCTTTTATAGCATCCCCACTATCCAACATTTTTCTTGCATAGGAACAAGATGGCCTTTGACTTCGGAAGGTAACCTGGCCTATCTAGCACTCACTCTTCTCACTTTCCATGCTACTCTTTGTTCTTAGACAGTGCACCAAAAATGTGGAGTGAAAACACCAAGATGAGTGAACATAGAATAAGGACTAGAGCCTCTTCACTCCAATGCCAATTCTTGCCATGGCTATCCAGAAGTTCAACCAGCGCTATTGTTGCTCTCCATCACCACCACTTTGGCTTCTTTCACCAAAGCCTTTCTCCTTCCCCAGTAGGACTTTGTGATATAAATTTTCCTCAGTAAAGCTAGAGTGAAGAGAACCATAACTTTTTTATTCTCTGTGTCCCTTACTGTCCAACATCCAGGACTCCATGGCAATATATGAAGGAAGGCGAAGGTGCTTGGAAAGAGTCTCCCTGGAATTATAGTGGGCGCTTCCATCTAGAATTGTTGATACGACCTCCACGGCCAGGCGGAGGATGTTAAGGATGAGCCCTTTGGCTTTGTCATGCTCCTACATGACTCTGGCTCCATGACGGTGTTTGACCAAACTTTCATGCTCACTTGCATACAATAAAGTTAGAAGATTTCAAATTCAGGGAGACGGGACTGGTTATCCAGTAATATTCCTATTTTGCCTAATCAACAGTGCACGATCCAAAGCGCCTCGGCTTTGGGCTTCTTCGGCACTGGAGGGAAGTCCTGTTGGGCTTTTCGTCTTTGCTTGCCACCTTTGTCCTGTCCCAAATCCATAAACGCGAATGTAAGAGCCCGTCTTGTAACTTTTACTTAACACCTTCCCTTCTCTACACTTCCGACTGGCCTCCTACAAACACACACGAATATACAAACACGACTGTGAGAAGTAAAAGAAAACAAAAATTAGAAGTGATTGAACGCCAGCGATAACTTACCCAGATCAAAAGTATTTTCAACACTTCCATCACTTTAAACATCCCAGGATTTTGCTGCAGCGACAGATGCCTCGACAAAGGATAGTTCTTGCGCTGATTCCGAAGTTTTGTCCTCCATAGTGAGCCTTGTCACAAAGAAATGTAAGAGCTTCACAACAACCTCTTGAACTTCTGTAACGATGAAGGTAAATGAAAAGAAAAAATAAAGCTCTAGCCTTGAAAGCAAACACAGAGACCTGGTGCAGTACTTTAGAGAAGGCCGCCAATGGCTTGGAAAATTCTCGACTGGCTACAAAGCCTTTGTCTGAAGCTGTGCCAAAACTTAACAAGCACTCAGCGTCCTTGTTTTTATTCCTTCAGTAGAAGAGAAAAAGGAAATTAGAGAAAGATGCTCGAAGATGCAAGCTTGGGAATTCTACAAAACATGGCGAGAATAGATATCCCAAGCTTGAGAGATTCCTACTGCTGCATTTCGGCAAAATGTCTCAGCCCTACGCAAATCCTCTCTTTAATTCTACAAACTGAATAAGAAAATGAAGTACCTATTCTTTCATCACCATTCAGAATCAGCGAATTCCAGACCGTGAGGCTGTCCATCGCGACAACGAGATTGCCAAAACATTTTGCCCTAGAAAATCTAAAACCTCGACATACATTTTAATTAGAAATTTATATAGCGGTTTATATTAGTAATGTAATAATATTATCATTCATATTGATTACAAATGAATTATAGAAAATTTTACAGCAGAAAATCATGACTACTGGATTAAAGTACAGTTTACAAAATGCTTGAATATTTGTATTATATTACTTGGTCTTGGAGTTATTTCAATTACTTGTTTTATCATTTTATACACCTATCAAATTGAATAATTGTTGCACCTTGCCATAACATGGTTTGCTTTTTTATCTTAAATATTATTTAAAATATTAAAAGCTCACCAGCTTAGCCGTTTGAAGAGGCCTCTGGCAAACTTTTGAGGAGCCGAATTGATACTTAACCCATTTTGATTTACTTTGCACAGAAAATTTACATGATTATATATTTGAAATTTCTGAATATATTTTATTATATGCTTGAATATTCTAAGAAAATCCTATAGAAGCTATTTTATTCTATTTTGTTAGCATTAAATTGGATAGTTTAAAGTATTGCATTGGCTAGGGGTTCGTGTTTGTTAATAAAGATAATATTATACTCAAAGGAAACTCTTGTTATTTAAAAGTGCCTGAGGGCCAAGTGCTCAACAAATTCCAAGTCCCATATTCCAAACACTAGAAAGTGTGCCAATATATGGTGTCTAGAATCGATATCATATCAAAGTGTCTTGACAGTAGCGAACACGACGTAGATAATGTTCCCAGTCCTATTTCATTCCCCGGTCATAATTAATTTTACTGTGTTCTCCCCTCTCAGCTGGACAGGAACAAACATAAGCATCAAAAACCGTATCCCTTGATCCATCCAAAAGATCCAGATCCAATTCCCCACTTGGCCTAAAACCATTGCCACAGATATCATTCAATCACACCATGAACTGTTGATTCACAGGCTTCTCGTCCACATCACGAACAGCTCCCACCACATCCCCACTAACATCCAGATGGTAGAGCACTGGGACGAGCGCGATCGAGCAGAGCAGCACCGGGATTGGGCCATATATCCACAGCAGCAGCGGGAACGCCACGTAAAACGCCCTCGTCCCGATGCTGTAGAACGCAAACCCCCGTACGAGAACATCGCCCACGAACTCCGGCGTGATCAGCGGGGACCCGTACGACGGTGGGACGTTGATGAGGTAGTTCACGTTGTTGACGAAGCGGATGGATTGCATGTAGCAAAGGAAGGAGAAGAGGAAGCATGCGAGCAGCGAGAGGAACTTCACGGCGATGGAGAAATCGTCCCTGGCGCCATAGACGGCGCTCTCGAGCGGGCGCTTGACGGAATAGTTGCTGCTAAGGAAGGCGGCGACGCCCGAGGTGAGGAGGATCGCGGTGGACGCCATGAGCGTCGAGGCCATGATGGAGTTTCGCAGCGTCTGGACGGCAAGGATGTTCTTCTTGTCCATGTCCTGCCAGGAAAAGCATCTCGGTTAGTAGTGACTAATCGGTCCAGCGCATTTCGTGTGTGTGCGTGAGAGAGGGAAAGGTTTGATTCTAGCTTCCATCATTAAAGAACCCATGCACGCAAGCAACAAAGCGAAAAAAGGTGGCGCATCTTTACCAAACACAGGCCCAAATTCTCTCCCACAATTGCGATCCAATCCGTTACGCACTTAATGGGCAAAGACAAGAAAAAAACTGCTGCGCAGCAAAGGCGAAGGCTATGTTCTTGATGTGCCTTGTGGGATTGCCACCCACAACCGGAAAAATGCCTGATCCGCCGCACATTTCTTGTTGGTAACACTGGATTCCAGGACCCAGTACAGAGATCGGACGTGGGCTGTGATCCAATCTCGGGAATTCGCCCGAATTGCCGGACCCATTTCGACATTGCAGGGAGAGAAGCATTTCAAATTTGCAAAGAGGAGCGAATGCTGAGTGGGAGTGTGTACCTTCATGATACTGCGCACCCAGGCGCGTTTGGCGATGTTGTTGATGCCGATCACGGTCTGGAGCGGGTCCTTTCTGATCTTGTACAGGAGAAAAATGTGATAGGCGACGATGATGAGGATCGCAACGGGTACAAGAACCGCGTCCAGCATCGATCTGCTCCAAACCATGGTCTTGGACGACTCTCGCTGCGAGCGATGGCTCGCGCACGATCACTCAATTTGGATGCTAGCAACTAGAGCAAAAGAAGAACTACAAAGAAAAACACTTCAAGAAGATCGCAAAGCGAAAGAGATCGCTGGAAAATCAAGAGATGGGAAACGAGCGAAGGAAGAAGAGGACGACGACGACGAAGAAGAAGAAAACACCAGCTTGGTGGCGCTTTGCAATTGTACCGAAAGAGCCAAGAGCAAAACAAATGAGAGAGAGAGAGAGAGACAGGGGGTTACGGCGAATTGAGGCGAAAGCGAAGGAATCAATCAGTTATCACAACAAATGCGTGATGATCGATCGTTTCATGTGTGCGCCACGCTTGCGGCCTCCTCTCTCCAGCCACACCGCTCACACTCGCTCTAGAACTCACTGGTGGGTGTGTGTGTGTCGCAGTAATCTTCCTTTGGGCGGAGAAGTGTGTGGCGTATCAGTGGCGTGAGCGATCGAGAAAACTCCTAGAGACAAATGATACTGTCGTAGATTTGATGAGCCCTCCCCCTTCTCTCTCTCTCTCTCTCTCCCACTCTCACACTACAAACTATTAACTACTGTATGGAGAACACACACACACCACCGGGGATTCGCAAGAGCCCTAGTTTTATACCAAAGGCCGCTATATAAAGTTTTCTTTGCGCATTTAGGAAGTGGGGGAAGCATCTTCTTCGGGATTATAGATATGCGCCCCCTTCTTTTTATTACGTTTCTAGCCATCTTTGTGTGATTGCGAGCGATCGAATTTCCAAATCAGAGCTCCAGTCCCCGGAATCCGGTCGACTTTTCGCCCTTCCTCTGGTTTTAGGGCTCTTCCCGGTATGCCCTAAAATTTAAAATTAGGGCTGATTCCTCATTGTTGACTTTGAAAGTTTGTAGGTCTCCGTTTGCTGCGCGGAGCCACACGCATTGGATGGAGTCGTCGCGCTGGCCTGGCATTGTGATCAATGCGCCACGACTCGATCGAGCAGTGCGATGAGGTATTCTTCTAGAAAATCCCGTTAGATGCTACAGAGAGAGCGACGAGATCCATCAATGGGCTTGGTATGGGAGGATTTGCCCGATCTCCACTCGGCCCAGGCCGCATTCCTCGAGCTCTATCCGGAGTACCAAGCAACCTGCGCTATCGACAGCCTCAGGAGGACGGAGTATCCCCACCTGGACGAAGATCGCCACGCTTGCTTCGACTATGGCGGGATTGGGATCTTTTCCTCGCGCGAGCACCAAAACTTCGCGCTGGCTTATGCGCCGACAAGCCTCGTCTCTCACGCGCTCTACGAGGACTCCCGCTCGATCGAAGGGACGATGCGAGCCAGGATCTTAGCTCACCTCGGGCTGGACGAGCGGGACTACTCCATCGTCTTCGCGGCGGATTCTTGCTCGGCGCTGCGGCTCTTGGTCGATTCTTTCCACTTTGGCCGGATTCTCCTCGGCTATGACTTTAAGAACGAAGGCTTAAGCAGGATCGAAGAGAGCGCTCGCGCTACCGGTGCCAAGGTTGTGCATGCCACTCTTTCCAGCACCGGTTTTGGCATCGATCGAAGGAGCCTGCAAAGGAAACTTAAGAAGCACAAGCGGGAATTCAAGGGGCTGTTCGCGTATCCGATAGTTTCCAGGGTGACAGGAACCAAGAACTCGGTAGAGTGGATCAAGGAAGCTCGGGATAATGGCTGGTGCGTTCTTCTCGACGTCTCTGGGATTGGAGCTGCGAGCTCGTCCATGGACTTAGCAGGATTATCTCCAGATTTTCTCGTTGGCTCCTTCTACAAAGTGTTTGGGATGGATCCAACGGGCTTTGGATGCCTCGTCGTGAAAAAATCCATGCTGGGCGATTGCTCTGGAGGCCGTGCTGCCGGGATGGTGAAAGTTGTGAAAGCTCATAGCAGTTTTCTCCAAATTCCAGAGAGCTTTAAGCAGAAATCCGAGAGCTACGACGCAGCAGCGAGCTTGAGCTCTAGAAAAGACAATGGAATGAATCCACAGCGGAGGCTGGAAGTTGCCAAGCCAAAGCCGCTCAAAGAATCCGTCAGTCCGTCGGTAAAGTTGACGAGATCATCCGAGTTCCAAGCAACGAGATACTACTACTCTACGTCGAGAGCTTCCAGCTTCCATGGCCTCCATCACGCCGAGAAGCTGGCCGAGCTCGCAAGCATGAGACAGGACTCGCTACTCGGCTGGCTGAGAGCTTCGCTGCTGCTACTCCGGCATCCATCGCCGGGCCGTCCAGGACTCGTTACCTTCCACAGCCCCGAGGACTCCGGCCCGGCTCTAGCCTTCAGCCTCTCGGACAACTCCGGCGAGTTCTTGGATCCGGAGCTCGTCCAGAGGCTCGCAAATAGGTCCAACATCTCTCTGGGGACTGGAGCGATCCAAGCTCGGCCAGCAGCGATGGAGGAAAACTCCTACTTTTGCGTGAGAAAGCTGGAGGCCTCGTCCTCAAGCGTCCAGAGCGTTCTCTGTGCGACGCTGGGACTTGTCACAACTTTCGGGGACGTGTTTCAGCTTTGGGAGTTTGTAGCACAGTTTTTGGATCCGGGGTTTTGCTCGAGGGAGCTACTCCAGTACCAGGGACTCGACCAGGAGACAGTTTTTCTATAGCTCTGGTAAATGAAATTTTTTTCTTCGTTTCCAAAGGGAACTTTTTTATAAAAAAAGGTTCGAAGAAAATGGATCGTATTTTCCTTTTCTCCTTTCTTGGAAGACTTTTTCCAAGAGTATATCTAGAAAATACTGCCAAGTTTCTTTCGTTAGTTTTCTTAGAAAGAGACCGTAGCACGGATAAACTACTCTACACATAAAATGTATTGCTGGAAAAGAAGAAACTCTTTTTGCGCTTTTTTTTTTTTGCTGGAGCTTCCACAGCAGGAAACAGCAAAAACAGAGAGCTGCTGCTGCTGTGCTGCAGTGTCAAAAGCAAAACAACAAAACAAGAAGGAAACAAGGAAAACGAAAAGAACGAAAAAAAGAGACTGAGCTGAGCCACCAAAAAAGTTGGAAGGAACTTCGAAGAAAACTTTGAAGCTGGAAACTTTGGTGGTGATGATGTTTGATACCAATCAGCACTTGTTGATGTTGTTGTTGGCGATGTTGGAATTCGAAACGCTGGAACTGATGATGATCGAATTGTTGATCAAACTGTTGTTGATGTTGTTCGATCCTTCCACCGCCGAGGAAGAACTCGCGGGAGTCCACGACGAAACCGCGACCAAAGGCTTTCCCTGCCACCCCAAGAGCAGCCCTCCCTCGTCCCGGCAAACCTCAAAGTTCTTCCCGTGGGAGTGGCCCTTGATCAAACACTCGGCCTGCATTCTCGCCGCCTCGCCCATGGGGACCGGTTCCAGCCCCCCGCGCCCCAACCGGGCCCTCCACTGCGCCAGCCTCTCGTGCCTCTCGGTACGCCGAGCGCCCTCCAGGCTGACGGCGTTAGCGATCCCGGGCGACAGAATATCCTTCTCCACGGTGAGCACCCCCGCGCCGTCCTCGGGCCCCAGCGAGTCCAGCACAAACGCGTAGTACTGCAGCGTCTCCACGAATCTCCGCTGGAATTTGCCGTCATTGTCGTCCACCTCCTCCTCCGCGATGGTGACCAGCCGGGGCGATGCCGTCATGACGGCGCTGACGGCCGCGTCCGTACCGCCCCGCGCCGCCAGCGACCGGTGGAGGCTGAACATAAAGTTGACCACCACCGGCTCGCCGTCAGTCAGCCCCAGCAGCGGCGGCGTCATCTCCCCGGCTGCGGCGCACTGGACCAGCCCAAACTGGGGTGTGTGCCGCAAGTGGAGCTCCCCCGCGAACTCCCGGAGGCTCTCCACCACGAACCCCAGCCGCGCCGGGTCCGGCCCCACTAGCGTCAGCCGTAACCGGGGCTGTGGCAGCGCCGCCGGCGTTCTTGCGACATCCTCCAGCAGCGCCGCCCACTGGCTGCCAAACCCGGGGTCGAAATCCACAATGTGGACGCTGGCCTCGCCCTGGATCGCCTCGAGAATCGCCTGGTTGGCGGAGAGATAGGCGAAGCGGAGGAGCGGCGAGATCTCGCAGAAGCTGGTGTAGGCCCTGACCTTGGCGAAAATCTCCGCCGGAGTGGTGGTGGCGGAGGTGGTGGTGGTGGTGGTGGTGGTGGCGGGATGATGATCGATCATCCGCGCTGCGAGGGCCTCCTTGAAGTAGAAGGCCAAACGCTGGATGCGTTTGCCCTGGTGACAGAACAAATGCTGATTGAGCCGCGCCAATATCGACTGAGCAACGTGATTGCTCCCAACGTCGATGGCCTGTGCGAGATGGAGGAGCTGATCCATGAGCCCCAGCCCCTCATCCGGCACCGATAGTACGCTTGGAATCCCTGCCCCTGCGCCTCCTCCGCCTGGATTGGAGCTCGCCGCCACAGGGGCGCCGCTGCCAAATCCCGATCCAAATGCGATGGCGCTGGGATCCCTGCCGTTGCCGCTGCCGCTGCCGCTGCCGCTGCCGCCGCGGCCATGGCGATGGCGATCGTCCCCGCCGCCGCGCACGCACTGGAGCTTAGGGTTTGGCGGGAGATCCCGGTGGTGTTCTTGGAATTCTTGCCGCTGCTGCTGCTGCCATGGCGAGATCGAGCGAGATTCCACTGCCAGCGGCACTGCGAATGTCGAGGAGCTGTAGGGAGCCCGGTTCTTGGAAGAAAGATCGGGAATTTCGGGGTAGTGCTCCTTCCTCTTGCGATCTAGCTCCCATCCCGGGGATTCCCGCCCCTGCTGCTGCTGCGCCTGGAAATTCCTGCTAGGCGACCGATCGATCGATCGGAGCTCGTGCCCCGGCCCGGGATTTGCTGCGAAATGGGGCGGATCCACGGGGTGGAAGAGCTGCTCCAGGCCGATGTCTTGGTGCTGCTGGATGATCTTCGGCCGCGGCGGGGAGAGGAGCGATGGCTGCGGCTGGATCGCCAGCGGCAAATGCCGGGACTCGGCAAATGCGAGCGATGGATTGGGGGCCGATGCTTGCGGGAAGAACAGCGGCTCCTCCTCCTTTGCCGGGATCGCTGGGAAGAAGTGATGATCCTGTTGCGCGGCATCGCCCAGGAGCCACTTCGCGAGCTGCTGGTGGTGCTGATTCGCGGCAGCGGCGGCTCCTCCCATTCCCCCGGAGGAAGGCGAGAGGAGCATCCTCTCGAGCTCCTCCATTCCATACTGCTGCTGGGCGTGGACTTGATCGATCGGTGGCGGTGGTGGCGGAGGGAAGATTTCCACCTCGATATCTCCCGGCCTGTGGCTCCCGGTGTTGGACGACGAGCACGCTGGCGGCGACTGGAAGAACACTCCCCTGTTGTTGCTCGTGAGCTCCAGCTCCTCCTCCGCCGCCGCCGGGATGTGGAGCTTCTGCTGCTGGAGATCCGCCAGCCATTCGTCCAAGCTCTTGTCTCTCGACCTCCTCGCCGCCGCTTCCTCCTCCTCTTCGCCGCTCTTCCATCCCGCCGCCGCCGCCGCTACCACGAGCCTGCTACTCACAGCGGTGTTCTTGGCGCTCTTGCTGTTCTTCCGCCGCTGCTCCTCCTCCTCCTGGTCCAGGAACCTCCGCGCCGCCTCCACGCTCTTCTCGCTCGTGTTGCTCCGGTTATCATCGAAGGAAGAGGGCGATCCGTGGTGCCCAGCGGCGGCGGCGGTGGTGGCGGCGAGCCTGGCGGCGGCGTGATCGTTGAGACCCCCCGAGGAGGATACTCCAGAGCAGCAGCCGCCACCTTTGGAGCTCGGGCTCGGGCTCCACAGATCCAGCACGGAGGTTGGCTCCACGGCAGCGCCACCACCATACAGGCTCCCGCTCGCTGCGGAGAATGGAGCTCCACCGAGAAGATTGAAGTGGTGGTGCTGGTGGTGGTGATCTTCGAGCTTGCGATGGAGGTGGAGCTCCTGGTGGCCGCCGCCGCGCAGGTAGTGATTGTTGAGAGCTCCGAGCTGCTGGTAGTAGTGATGGAGATGGTGGTGATCGAGCTCTCCCACCCGATGGGCACTTCCAAGCATCTTTCCTCTGTCCGGCAGAGCTACTAGGGGCCTATACCTCCTCCCTGCGTCTACAGCGCTTTGGTCTACCTATCGCTCTTCTCCCCTGGTACGCCGGCCATATCTAGAGCTCCCGGGAGAAGACCCAAGAGAGATGGGGATTGATTTGATCGATCGTTGTCACTTGGGCTGTTCCATCTCGCTGTTCTTCGTCATCATCTCGCCCAAGGATCCAGCCACGCCAGGAGGATTTGCTCCACTAGCAGCAGTCCAATCTTCTTCTTCTTCCCGGCCCGCATCTAGAAATCCAGCGCGCAAGATCCCTTTTTGCTTGGAGTGATGTGGTCGAGGTGGAGCTGTGGATCAAACAAGGAGGCATTTTTCTAGCGACCCAGATGAAGAAGAAAGCCAAAAAGGAGAGGGAAAAGCAGAGGTTTTTATAATTTACCGTGTGTGAGTTTGTTCTTCTTCACCTGTTGCGAGCGATTGATTGATTACTTGTGCGGCGATCCACTTGCGCCGCCGCTGGCGTTGCTTCTCCAGCAAACAAGACCTGCAGATCAACAGTGGTCGTCACTACCGGCGCGATTTGATTGTTTAGCGGAGGAGGAAGAAGAAAGGAAAAGAAAAATGGGGCAAGAGAAGCACTACTCAAAGATTTCCAAGTTCTAGAAAACGAGGCATCCCATCCCAGAAACAGGGACACACCAACGCTTCGACACTATTGCAAGCAAATATCTACGCAATGCAAGCATACAAACAAGGGGTTTTCGATCGTCTCGCTCGGAATCACGCCAAAACAAGAGTACAAACCGGGGATGGATTTAACAAAGCAGTTCCATCAGCACCCCAGCAGCAGCAGTAGCAGCCCAGTAGCAGTAAGCACGACGTCCAAATCGCCCCCTCAAGAACACGCACAAAAAAAAGAGGAAGAACAAAAAGGCAAAAAGATGGATTGATCGATCGCGTGGTCGCTTCTCTTTGCGCGCAAATGCGGCCAAAGCGCAAAATCCCTCACCGCGTAGCAACAAGGGAGAGAAGGAGAAGAAGAAGAAGAAAGCGATGAAGAAGAAAGAAAAGGAACACGAAAAAGATGCCTCTTTTTGGGATGTTTGGATCCCTCCAGATGCCCTCGTCCTCGTATTAGCACCAAAGTTAACAAAGTTTAAGCTAAGGCATTGTTGTTTAGCAACGAGGAGTCTTCTTTGTTCTGCCACCCTAGCGCTATGGCGTCGTTTTCACACACACACACACACGCGCTTTTGCTCGCAAATGCCCAGCAACAACGAAACATCTCCTTTGGTGGCGAGAAAAGAAATGCCCAGATAACAAGAAACAAGATCGAGCCTTTTGTTTTCTTCTTGTTGTGCTGCTCATGCTTCCTCAAATCCAACGATGTTTGCTCCCTTCTTCTATGCATTCCTTGCAAGGTACGAGATACCGTATTCTATACCTTTAGTCTATAGTCTGCCACCTTTACTTATTCCTTTGTTTAGGGCTTGTCTTTTGCGGGGAATGTAGATGATCCGGGTGATCTGTGACAGGTGATTAAACTTTGCATTTGGTGGGCTTGAGGTTTTCTTGAGCAGTTTGTGATCCATCACCGGATTTGGGCACGCTGGGAAAAAGCGGGCCTTATAGTCGCTTTTCAATTGAAAACCATGTAGTAGAGATTATTAAACAGTTTTTTTTTGTCTTCTTTTTCTTTTGGTCTGTCTTCGGTGCTTTTGCTTTCTTTTTTTTTTCTTTGCGCATTGGCCTTTGAGCTGCTTCGCTGCTTCTGGTGTGGGGACAACACTAGCCACCATCGTGGTTTGCTTTGTTTTGTTAATACTAAAACAGTTTTAAGTGGGGTTTAATCAACATGGGAAGGTGTCAAGCAAGCATGAGTGAGTGAGACACTGACCATGAAGCTTTCTCGGTCAAGTGATATCTTTTTGAGAACACCCGGGACGTTAAATATGAGAGCAAGAATGATGAATCCTTGCTCCTCAAGCAAACGAGGTTACAATGAATAGAGAAATTTGTACTGTTTCTACGGCAATGAGGACCGGATCAGCGTGTCTTCCACCACGGAAGCAGGGATTACAGCTCAGCTTAGCTGAGATTACTGTATCAATCAGTCCATTGTCCCATCAGTTTCAATAACAGTTGTGCCAGATTGGTTTTTGTCTCTGATTTGTTGCTTCATGGCCAGGATTGTGAAAGATGGCAAGTGGAAAGTGAAATGCTTACTTGAGGAGGTTCTCGTTTCAGAAACCCTTTAATCTGTGAAGGGGAAAAGAGAAATAAGAAAGGAAAAAAAGAGAAAAATGAAAAAATGAAAAAGATGTTGCTGCTCAGGATGAACTGACCTCCTTCTGTGTCTCTATCTATCTTGAGTGCATAGAAAATGATATCAACCCTTCCCCCACCCTCTCTCTCTCATGTACAAATCTAAAGATTTGGTGTGTGTAATCAAGTTTGGGCCTGGATTTTGAATGTGGCTGCTGCCTCCTGTCCTGCTGCTGGCTGCCTGGCCTGGCCTGGCTGGCGGGTGTCTGGTACTGAACAATTCAACTGAAACTTCAACTTAAGCTGATCCAATTCAAACACATGCAAATAGCGGTGTCAAGGAATTGGGTTCTTGAGTGGATTTCTCTCTAATTGTGTGTTTTGTGTTCACACTTTGAGTAGTATGCTCAATCCCCTCCCTGCTCCTGTGCTGCCTGCTGCCAGGCTCACCTTTTGCTACACACTGTCACACACTAGCAGCCAAATTATGCCTTGCAGGGACTCTGCAATTGTGCCAGGCCAATAACAAATACCTGTATGTGTGTGTGTTTGTGTGAGTCCTGGTGATTTTCTCATTGGTATAGCTGTTGTGGTACACCTTTGCCACAGGGGCATGTGTGTGTGGTGATCCATATACCCAGAGTGGGCATGCCACCTTTTGTTGATGTTTACAGGGCAATTACACATACCCAAGCTGGGCATATGTTACAAGTCCAAGTGGCTACATGCCGCCTACATTGGAGTACGTTCTTGGCCACCAGCAAAATGCGTGGTTTGCCTTTGCCACTTTATAAAAAACTCCTCCACTGCCAAAAGCGCTTGAGCCTTGGGCATTGCAATCTCTCTCTCTCTCACACACACAAAATGCAGCTCACCTGGACCTCGACTCCAAGTGAGATTCTGGGACACTCCATGAAAGCTCTTAAACAAAGCCTTGTGGTTTTTCTGCTGACCACCATCGCTCAAGGTGGTGGTGGTGATTTGTTTTTGGCCGAGGATGGGCAAAAGTTTTGGATCCACTATACAAATGCGAGAGATCAAAGGTGTCGTCCGACCGACCATGTCATCTCGTCGTCGTCTTCCTTGGGTCTCGTTTGCGTTTGTGTTCTTTTCATCTTTCTTGTGTATCTATCAGCCTACCGTTATGAAAGTTACAAAAGAGAGAAAGTTCGTACACATTAATGATTTCGCCACACACACACGTCTAATAATCCTGACCACCACACCCCCAGAAACTTTAAAAACCTCCCACGTCCAAAATCTCAGTCTTGTCTTGTCTTTTCCACCCTTTCGTGGCAGCCGGGTGCAAACTCGAACCCCAGACCGATTCAAAGATGGCGAGATTTGTCGCGTTGGAGATTTGGTTTGATGTTCTTCGTCACACTCCATCCACAGTTCTTCTTTCCAGTGATATTTTGGTGTGACATTATTATATGTTGGAAATCATTATTGCTTTTCCGGCATGGCTGTCGGAACGAAAACCAAAGTTTCTTCGTGGGATATACCCAGTTGTGCTACCACCACCCAAAACTTGAACATTGGAAGGCCATAGAAATGACAATCATAATAGTATGATAATGATTGATAATATACGTTCCAAACTCGAGCTTAATACTACTTTCACCCTACAGATGCATAATCGAGCTTAATACTACTTTCACCCTACAGATGCATGAGATAGAGCTATTTTATAGTTCGTGTTGCAATGCTTTGCTATTGCCTTACTTTTTCTAAGAAAACTTTGTGATCTGTTTTAATCGCTGGTTGCTGCAGCGGCGTCTCCCCTGAGGTTCTTGTCGAACTTGACCCACTTGGACCTCCTCGCATCGAATAAGTTGCACTGATCAATGATCGTGTTCATCAGCGGGAAGCCAAACTCGGCCTTGTTCAAGTGCCGGTCCCATTTCTCCTGGATCGCGGCGTATGCCTTGCGGAGATTGTAGCTGGGAATTTTGGTCGATACGTGGTGCGGGATGTGGACACTGATGTCATGGCACAAGAGATCAATCCTAGAAGAAATCGAAAAGAGATGAGCTCGTGAGCGAAAGAGAGACGGCATTGAAAGAAAGCGTTACCAGGCCGGGTAGTCGCAATGCACGGTGCCGTTAAGTTGCGCTTCCACGGCATACCACTCCCGGTTTGGCTTGAAAGGAATGTGTGGCGCGGTGTGATGAACCATCGTGAAAGTGCTCATCCAGAAATGAAAGCCCAGCCACGGTACAAGCCACCACTTGACAAATCCAACTGGACCCTGAGTTACCAGCAAAGGTGCAAGCACCAGTGCTGCAAACGCTGCCACTGCCGCCAAGCTCACCTTTTAAAACAAGGATGGAGTTTTAGATTAAAGCTCGCGGAAACAAGGAACAAAAGAAAGTTACCTTGACTTTGTCTTGCTCCTGAGGCCGGAACTTGCTCAAGTCGAAGTGCCAGAAAATCCAGTGTCCTACTGAAGCCATCCACCATAACGGACCCATGGTGGCTCTAATTACCCCCCTGACTAGAGGGCTACCATTGTCATACTGATGTGGTCTGAATGGTTGCCATGCAGTATCCATAATCAACCTGGTAAGCAGAAAAACACGCGTTTTGAGTCGGCCGAAATCACGAGCACAGAAACCACTTACTTGTTAGTGTGAGCATGGTGAGTGTTGTGTTTGATCCTCCATGGCTCGAATGGATAAATGAGAGGCGTCATGACAATGGTTCCAACGACATCATTCACGAGCTGGCTCTTGGAGAAAGAGTTGTGACCACAGTCATGGCCGATGACGAATAGTCCGGTGACCGCGGTTCCCAAAAACGCGTAGACTATTGGATATAAGTACCATGGTGCCACCGCAAGGGCCGCGTATCCAGCAGCGACCGAAGAGACGGTGATCGCCACCGTCTTGAAAGCTTTGAAGTCATCAACCTCGAACACCTGACAGCAGGAAAATCGTAAGAAAAAATACATTTTTTACCGAGAGTGATGTACCTCTTTGGGCAAAGTTTTCACAACATCGTTCAAAGAGAGGCCTTCGGGAACCTGCAAGCAACAAAACGAAGGCAAATGTGAGATTTTTGTTTCTATCGTTCTGTCAGTCACCGGTTCTCCCAGCTGAGTAAAACCAGGAATGGAGGTCTGCACTTCCTCCCGAATGGGTACAGCCACAGCACGTACGCCGACTCCTCGTTTCTTGGGATTCACCGATACATCCTGGGGAAAAAAACAAGCCAAAAACAATTCAAACATGGAAAGCCAGGAAAAGCACAAAAGAATGTGCGTGTCAGTACCAAGATCTGACTGCGCGGGCTTCGCAATCGACAAAAACCGGAGCTCTTGAAGGGGCTAGCCAAAATCCTGTCTGAGCTCTGCGCAAATTGATCGATTCAGCTGCATGCAGATGAGAAAAAACTGGAAAACTCACCGAGATTTGGGCCGAGGCCTGAAGTTGAAGATGCATGGCCGCCATCCTCAATGCAGGCACTCGCTCGTAGATCTGATTGAGCCAAAGCCCTAGTAGTGCGAGGTCACCGCCTCCACACACAGGATGGATCTCTGGCACATACCCAGAGCCCTAGCAGTGAGAGCCGTGGTTCTCCCTACAAAGACTATAGACAGATTTCGGTGCATCACCACCGTCGGCTGGTTGGCGGTCAGTAAAGCTCCACGTGCATAGGAATCTCTTGAACACAGAGTGTCACCCATTGAATGCCTGCCACGTGGCAGGCACGAGATTGGCCATGCAGAATTTTAAACCTAACAAATCCGAGATAGTTTTTTGCAAAATATTTGCCGGGGCCACCCCTGTGATGTGATTTTTTGGAGGGGCTTTAGCTCTTCCTTAGGTGTAACACCTGTGATTGTTTTTTAAATATATAAAAGATCCCAAGGTAGAGGTGTCTATTAAATCTGTTATTATATGTTTTCCAAGCCACATTTTCCATAATTTAATTATACTAATTTTTCTTTTTTACTATAATCTTAATGCTAATGGAATTATCGGGATAGCTGTTTATAAGATGACATAATTTTTATTTACAATTTTGGACTAAATTCCTCAATTTCACCATAATGTTATTTTAGATAGTTTACTTTTAAAATAGTTTAATTTAAAATATTTGTAAAAATTTTGTAGCCCATGATATCAAGATGTGTAAACAACTAAAATAAGAAAGTATTTTTGGTTTAATTTTATAATATTTATTTAAGTTAATAATAAATAGATTGTAAAGTTTTAGCTGCCACATGGAAAATATTTTAGCTGATAGGTTTTCTACTATTTTTATTTCTAATTTTCTGTACCGTTTTACTCAGAATGATTATTATTCAAAAGAAAACTTTGTGTTTAGATAGATTCAAAAACTTTCTGATCTTAAACATGTATTATTATCAATGGTTATGATTATCCCAAATCTCTAATAAAAACTTCATATTTAATATTAAACCAACAGATAATATATATTTTAATATTATTTCAATTTTTATAAAATTATGCCCTTGTGAGGGCCAAGTGCCTCAATATTGCTAAATGGTAGTCTATTATGTAGATTTCCTTTTAAAAATTAAATAAAATATAGTCATATATATATATATATATTTATAAATGTAATTTTATAAGTACTTACACTAAGCTTCATTTTTATATTGATTTTTAGAGTATATACCGAGTTACTTAATTATGGGTGATCTAAAATATACATACATAATAGTAATTTATAATATCATAAATAATATAATTTGGTTTACTCATCAAAACATTAGTATTAATACCAAAATTCAAATACTATGGAAAAAAAACTATGGTTCATTTAAGCTAATAATAGTTATTATTTTAGTATTTCACTTCTAATTATCTGACTGGTTTATCAGCCATATACAGACTCTAGTCAAGTTACAATATTTTACAAATTGATTAAAACAAAAGCAATCTTCCTACCTATATTAATTTTGACCCCTCCATGAAGGTATCACTTTGACTATGTCAAAGTGAAATATTGAAATATTATACATAGCATAAGCAAAGAGAGCACATTGAAAATTTCACTCTAGTTGGTCACAATAATTAATCTCTACTAGACCTAGAAGCTGCCCTCATTTGCTCAACAGTTCATCTCTTGCCAAGTTATGGCTCATGTGAGACAATCTCTCTCCTTGATCCATGGTCATGTGCTAGACCTCACTCTAGGTGATCTCTTGATATAATTTAAATGTTTTTTTTTTATGGCATAAGATTCCAAAATGATTGATATGACAGAGACATATCATGTATTTCCAAAGTGATGAATATGTTGAGAATAAGTAACAAGGCACCAACAATATTTATTACTCCAATCAATTCGAATGTGCACTTAAGAAGTAGCAATCTCGTATAATCAACTATGGACAAAACAAATCTTTGGGAAGAGTGTGGCCTCCTCCTCCAAGGAATCATCAACCACTTCTTACCATCTTGTAAACAAATTTAGAGTTATTCCTCCTACCAGTAATCCTTTCCTCCTCCATATAGTCACTTGGAATGTGGCTAAGTAGCATTTCAAACCAATTGATATACTCATCAATCAAATTGCCTTTCCTCTGTTGTAAATGCTGTAGCTCATGCCAAGCATATGAAGAATTGTAGAGAGGCACAAACTTTTGCTTAAAAGCTACTAAAAACTCATCTATGGAGATAAGTGGTCTCTTCATGGTGCTTGTTTGCTGGACTAGAAACCATGTGTCAAGAAACCATCTTGGCAGAGGCCTTGATGAACTTCTCATTACCAGAACATAAGGAAAGGATTTTATACAAGAAAAAGAGAGGAGAAAATGAAGGAGGGAAAGAAAAAACTTACCTTCTTGCAAAGGAAACAAACCTATGATCATATTCCCTCTGTGGCATGCCACAAATGGTACATTTGGGGCTGGAAAGTCAGCCCAGATCACCTAGGCACTGAAAAACAGTCACCAAGACTAGTGTGTAGAGACACCTCTCTTGGAAAAGCCATGTCTATCTCAACCCTAACTTTATATATATAAGAATATACCAATCTCACTATGCCAAGTATGCAATCCATCTCTTTTTTTTTTTGTCTTTTACTTTCTTATTTTTCTTTGTTGGTTTTTGAGCAGGATTATGAAATATAAACCACAATGAAGGGCCATTCATTTGGTCATTCCAAAATCACAATATCTGATCCTTCACATGATTTGCAGAGGCAAAGCGGAGGCAAAGCTTGAGGCTGGTATGTCTGATGAAGTGATTATGTATGGCAAGGTGGAAGGAAGCATATGACGGAAACTAGGGGTTTAATCACAGTTCTTTCCTTCTTCCTCTTTCTTTTTTGTCTTCTTATCTCTTTCCTCATGATTCAATTCATTACAACTCATGAGAGCTATTTGGATCTCTATAGTGGTATTGAAGCATTCATCCCTAAGCCTTCTTCTACTTTGGGTAATGGGCTTTCATCATGAAACACACAACACCATGTGAAGAGGATCCTAAAAGGGATAATTGTACCAGGAATGATAGTGGATGTTGTCTTCAATCAGTTCCTTGAATAGATTGGGACAGACTTTGTCCAAGAATCACCATTTCTTCTATTAGCATGGCTTTGTGTGAGTTAGAGAAATAGGTTTGGTGGTTGGATGGCTTTACCATCACCTCTAGCCAAGTTTGTAACTAGGCACCCAAAACAGCAGCAAGTTATGGAAGATGAAGAGTTGGAGCAAGAAGATGATGATTAGGTACACAGCATAGCAATAACAAGAATGCGACCAACACATTGGCAGTTCTCCAATAGCTGGAATCAACCATGCAAGTCATGGCAGAACAAAGTCTCCTTTAGCAACAATGAGTTTTCGCCAATTTTTGTGACATGTAAGCTGAAATTTGCATGCTAGCTGAGAAATAGAGCAAGGGGGCAATGATCTTGCAAGATATGGCTGAAAGGCAATAGATCTTGGAGTCCAAAATGGAAGAGCAACAGTTAGTTTCTTCGACATAGAGAACTGGAAGAGCTTTTCCAAAAATTCCTCATTGGTGGGAAGAATGGACAAAACTCTTTTTTGAGCAACACTTTAGACCATGGTACAAAGATTTATGGGCTAGGATGAAGATGGAGAATCTTGTGGAACTGAGTCCACCTTCCTTTTCATCCAAGATCCAAGGACTACTAGGTAGAACACCATTCATGTCTTCATCCAAATGGAACAAGGACAAATGTCAACTACTGACATGTAGTGGGGAGAATGATTGCCATAAACTACTCAACTGGATTAGAAGGCACAAGTGCAACTTAATCATGCAAGAGCCTCATGACGTGGAGAAAGTTCCACTTATTACTAACTATCTCACAGACTTAGCCTCAGAGTGGTATGGTAGCCTGGAGTGTGCACAAATATTTCCAAATTGGGAAACATTCAAAGTCATGCTCATGAAGGAGTTCATTTTGTCTAGTCCAGGATTTGCCCTTTAACAAGCTTTGTGACCTCTACTGCAATCCTAAAATGCAACTCTCTAAACATTCAATTGGGTACAAGTTAAGTTTGGAGTTGACAACATTTTGGAATCAGCTTTGGTTTAGTGATATGGGAGTTGATATTGCACAATTGGCACCTTCATTGGTTCACCAAGCCATGCAACTAACTTTGAATATAGACCTCAAGTATAAGGAGTGGGAGACTATAAGTTGGTTGTGCCAAGAGTGGCCTCACCTTCAACTAAGGACACTTTCTAGAGAATAAGGGTTGGACAGACTAGGCAATGGCAATTCTTTGACTCCAATTAAGTTGGCACCTTCTTTAGTCCCACCATCCAATTCACAAAGTGCTTAAAAGACATGAAATTGGGCCAATGTTTTGACTATGGAGCTAAGTGGGAGCATGGCCATTGTTAGGTATGCAAAGCTTGTGCAAGACAACCATAGGGAACACAACAAGGCAGGTTGATGAGCAAGTAAATGACCATGGAGATTTAATTCTAATGGCATTCAAAGACTTGGATTTCCAGTATGACATCTTTGTGTGGGAAGGCAAAATTTCAACTCAAGGAGATAGGGATGGAGCATTTCTAGGTGCTACCATCTCACTCCCATCCTTCATGGGGAAAACAGGTCTATAGTGTATTAGAGTCAAGAATAATAAGTATTTGTTTTGGTAAACTCTAGCACATCTCATTCCTTTAACAATGACCAATCACTGTCTAGATTGTGTATTTCCACTCAACTGGCTCATATTCCCTTGGAGGTCACAATTGCCAATGGAGGAATGATTCACGTGGATTGAGTTGTTACATGTTCTTCCAAATGGATTTATTCTCTTTTGTGGAGACCTTCTATGTTATGGAGATGGGAATGGTTGATATAGTCTTGGGAGTGTAAATGCTGTAGAGATTTAGAGACATAACCATCAACTTCACAGATTAAAGACTCTCCTTCACCTTTGAAGGGCAACAAGTCGAATGAAGGGGGGTACATTCCTTTTCCAAAGTACGAGAAGCTTCTACATCTCAATGTTAATGGTTAATATGAGGTGGTGGGGAATGTCTTGTGTACCACAAAATGCAAGACTTTTGGAGCTAGTTTAGGGTTTATTCGAAGGCATGCAACAAATTTCCTT